GGGGGGGGGGGAGGCATGTCACCATATATCCCCGTCAGATTAAAAAACTAATTTGAAAAGATTAATGTATTCCATTCTTGTTACGCTGGCTCTGATACCTCTGGGCCCGCGGCCGCTCTGCCTCCTGATTATTGAATTTTTATGGCCTGGTAATTAATTGCAGATTCCCTGTTTTGTTCTATTTCTTTTTCTCTGACATTTTAATTTCAACAAAAAGCAGTGGTCTCCATGCAGGCTCTCTCTGGAGATCCTAATGGTCTATAAAACAGAATGACTTATAGACGTGGCACCCACTTCAGTTGGCGAGCGATTGTTTGAAACCTTGCTGATCACGCAAAATTTAATTTTTCCACCTCCCTCCCCCGTTTGCTACTCATTTCTTGTCTCTTGCATTGCAGCACCGGGGCGTCTCAGCTCACAATGAAGGGCGCAAAGTGTCGCCTTGGAATCCTACAGAGCCTTTTGCAGGAGGCTGAAAACAAAGTCAGTGTTGCTTCTTTTCCTCAGAGGTGCCCCTGCGGTGGGGAGGAGGGAGCTGGGCTTCCCCAAAGGGCCATCTGGATGTGGGCAGCTGCTCCCAGGGCCATGAGGGGCTGGGCAGGGGGAACACCATTTCTACCTCTCTGGGTTGCCCTTTCGGTCCCATGCAGGTCAAATGCCCCACTAGGCACCCAGGAACTCTCAGGCTGGTAAGGGCAGAGAAAGTGGGTGCCTCTTCATGCCTTTAGGTCCATACCAGGAAGTGAGACTTGACCCCTGACAAATTCTTAGCCAAATCAGGGCCCTGGAAACAGCTTTCCACAACAATGGGTCTGGAAGAGGCCCCTGAATTTCTATCATGACACCCCCAGCTTCTACTTCTGAACTGCTGACATCACATGGGTTGGATCCTCTCTCCCAGGGGCTCCCCAGGACTGTGCAGGGCAGGGTAGGGGCAGAAAAGTAGGGTTGTGGAGTCAGGTCAGGCCTAAGCAATTGCAAGATGGAAGTGTTCAGGGGCTGCACAGGTAGGTGAGGGGAAGCAGTAGGGGGCAGTGCGGACTGGGGCACTGCAGAGCTCATGTCCCGTCCAAAGGCCTGGCAGCCACTTGGCCGCCTATGCCGCCATGTGGGAAGATGGATGCAGTGTGGCCAGAGCTTGTGAGTTCTCAAGAAGGGTTGAAATCTGGCTTGTAATGTGAAACCTCACCATTTTAAGCATTTGGATTAGACTTTTGTTTTTTTTTAAGCATTGCTTCAGCCGAACTGAATACATCTTTGATGTCTGGGTTTGATCTGGCCCCTGGGACCACCGTTTCCTCTGATTGGGAGCATGTATCAGAGGAGCTGAGACGTGGAGGTGGAGTCTGGTGGGGCCAGCTGACGCCTCTGCCCTGCCCCCACCTCAGGAATCCTTTTCCTACCTTTGGGCTCTCCATCCGCTTCCCACGCTCAGTGGGCTCTTCCCCAGTAGCTGTGGGCTGCCAGGGGCACCTTGGAGCCTCTGTCCAGGTCTTGCCTTCCGTAGGCCTCTCCATACAGAAATTTGCAGCCTGAAGTCTGACCGCATCTGGGTGAGGTTTGCCAAGCTCCCCAGGGAGGATGGCACCTGTTCACCTAAGACTTTGGGGGTGTGGGCGGGGGCAATGCCCTGACTCCAAGGCTCTAGGGGTGTTTCAGGCCGAACGGATGGAATCAGAGAGACCATGAGTTAGGGGCTTCTGGGGCTTCTCAGATGAGGTGGGGACGATGGAGCCCCACTGCCTGCTCCTGCCTCCTCTGTGCTGAGATGCTACAGACCTGGCAATGCCCCGGCCTCCTGTGCCCCGGCTTCCTTATCTGGACAGGCCCAGTGGGAAAGCGACAGCACGGGCTCTAGGATCAGATGGACTTGGGGTCTGTCATTGGTCCCATAGCTCCGTGGCTGTGAGTTCAGAGTTTCTCAGCTAGAAAATGAGGGTGATACTTCTCTACCTCTCTCGCTGTGTACTGAGCACCCACAAACGTGCGGGCTTTAAACAGCCTCCATTTATCATTTCACAGTCCTGTAGGGCAGAAGCTGTCAAGGTATGGCTGCATTCTCTGCTTGGGGTCTCGCCACGCTGACGTCACAGTGTTGCTGGGGCTGCGGTTCTGCCGGGCCCCCCGGCTCTTTTCTCAGCCCACTGGTTGTTGGTGGATTTCAGTTCCTTCTCGTGAAGCTCCTATGTCAAGGCCAGCAAAGACATCTTGGATCTTTTTGGTGCTTCAAATCACTTTGCCTTTCTCTTCTGCCTTTAAGTGCTCCTGTGCTTACGTTGGGCCCGCCCAGATAATCTCAGGTAATGTCCTTATTTTAACGTGACCTGGTTAGTAACCTTAGTTACATCTGCAAAGTCCCCTTGCCATTTAAGATAAGAACCACAGGATTCGCACTGATGGTGGAGGTCATAGAGATCGTGGGGGCAAAATTCTGTCTGCCACAATCCCCGATGACCTTGGTGTGTGTCTCATGATGTCATCTGTTTCTTTCCTCCTGTTTTTTTAAATGTTAAAAAAAAAAAATTTTTTTTTAATGTTTGTTTTTGAGAGAGAGAGACAGACACGAACGGGGGAGGGGCAGAGAGAATCTGAAACAGGCTCCAGGCTCCAAGCTGTCAGCACAGAGGCTGACGTGGGACCCGAACTCGGGAACGGGGAGATCATGACCTGAGCCACACTCAGACGCTTAACTGACTGAGCCACCCAGGTGCCCCACTTTCCTCCTTTTTTGACGGGATGGCCAGGGCTGCCATGGTGACTCCTGGGCGTCACTGCTTCTGTGGGGCATCTTGGCTGATCCTCAGGAGGCTTCAAATGGCCAAGACTTCATGGGGCCCTTCCGAGAACGGGTGGAGAGCGTCTCCTTGCAGCTCTTACCTCTCCACGTTGAGACACTGGCCTATGTTGTGG